GAATGCATAGAAAGTCTGAAAATTGAAAAAAGCTTAGTACAGGGTACTATTTATTCTATGTAATAAGCCTTGTAGAAGTTTTGTATTTAAATAAAGGCAGGTGGGTGATCTGACTATGAATGATTAATTGGTACTAGACTATTACTGCCATAAACAATTTGAAAATTTTTTTAGTGTGGGAAAACACACAATAAAGTAACAAGACAATATCCAATCTCCAATACAAAATCATTAAACATGGAAAGAAGCACAGTCAGGATAAAAATGAGTCAAAGGAAACAGATCAAGAAATCATAAAGATTATGTAAATAGCATACATGTACATTAAAACAGTTATAAATTTGTCTAAGGACTGAAAGAAAATATGAACTTGAAAACAAACAAAAACTGAAAATTAAAAATTATGGAAATAATTACAATACATTATATAAAAGAAACAAGTAAAACTTCTAAAGGTAAAAATATAATATCTGTATTATATTGGTTTACCAAAAAATTACACACTATAAAAGAAAAGATCATAGAACTTGAATTCAGAGGAATAGAAACTACACTGAAGAAAGGGTTTAAAAAGATGGGGAGGGATGAACAGAAACTCAGTGACCTGTAGGACAATAACAAGGGGTAACTGGAGTTCTAAAAGGTAGAGAGAGAAAGAGGGACAAAAAATATTTGGGAAAATAATGACCAGGAAGTTGTGTGAATTTAATGAAGTGTCAACCCATAAATCCAATATCTCAATACAAACTAATAAAAAGATAATTATACTGACTTTTCATCTAAATAATACAAACCAGAAGACAATGGAACAAAATATTTTAAGTGCTGAAATAAAAATGATTTTTAACACAGAAATTTAAGTTCAACAAAAATATAAAGTAATACAATTTAATAAAATTTTCAAGCTAAAAAGAAAAAAAGAGAGGATCTATGCATCCTTCAGACCTACATTACAAAAAATGTTAAAGGAAGTTCTCAGGTTTTAGAGAAATGCAAACTTACTACCAAATTGAAACGTGGAACTGCAAAAGGGAATGAAGAGGACCAGAATGGGACTGAGGCACAGTGATGAGAAAAACTTAGAAAATAAAACATCGTATCAGAAGCAGAGAGGGAAAGTCTTATGGCAGTTTAACGGGGATTTTTTTGTAAGTTAAATATATATATACATATATATATACACACATACACTCACATATGTATGTATTTTTATGTATAATATTCTACAAATTGCTTGTACTCACACTCAAATATACACATCTTCAAATTTTTTCTTCTAAGTTTTTGGTTTAATTCAAAATTCAAATGTTATTTTATCAGTAGAAGCTTTGTCCAAAGAAAATTTCATGCAGAAAGCCAATATATAAAACATAAAAGTAAAATTATTTCTTTGTAATGTGGGAACAGAAGCTCCACTCACAGTATTTCTCCTCCTGCTCTACAAAGTTCCCTGAAGTTTTCTGAGAAACACTTAGGCTCCTCAGATCACACAGTATGAAAACTATTTAATCAATTAATAGTGCTATCTTTAAAGAATCTGTTTTTCATATTTCTCAAATATTTATCAAATTGTTACAGTATGTGTAATATTGGACCTTCAAAAGTACATAAAATAATTGACAAATCTGTAATAAACTATTGTTTTTGTAATACCAATTGACTATTTCTTAATTGATTCCAAACCAACTTTATTGTTTTTCAAAGTTCAGTAAACTAAAAGGTCACTGGAATTCAGCCAAATTGATTGCATTAGACATACTAGTGAACCATTAAAAACATAATGAACAATAACAACGTAAATAGAAAGAACTTACAAACTACTGACTCAAAAGATTGATAAACTAGCCCTTGAAATTAACACCTAATGGCAGCTTAACCAATAATCCATATATTCTTCAAGCAATTGTGTCTCTATTTTGTCAGGAAGATTAAAAATGAACACTTCCCTCACTTTCATAATTGTTTTATGTAACATCAAATGTTTAAGCACATATTTTTTAAAAATTCAGATTGTATGCTTTTATTTAAAGTTATTTATAAATTTTAAATATTATATATGCAGTTTAAACTATAGCCATGAAGGCCCTCTGTCTAAAATATGTGTAACTGCTATTGAATATTAATATGGGACCTTGTTTATACAGTATGGATAATTCACTGACTTCAACTCTCTTTAAAGGAGTTAGAGCAGAGGCCATCCATCAAAGCCAGAGATAGGACTAAAAATTCTTCTCTTAGTAAAGTGGTAGAAAAAAGAAATATACAGTATTGAAGATGTCTTTAGAACTTTGAGACAACCCAAGTTTGAAATTTAAAAAAAAATAGAAACTCTGTTACTATTACTGCTCGGTACAATGAATCATGTTCTTGTTATTATCTGGCCTACTACATTTCCATTTTACATTGTTTAGAAATAACTGGGAGTCATTATTTCATTATTTGCCTAGAATAAAATAAGAACTGGATTTGAGATACTGCAGGAGCATATATGAGTACATACTTTTCCCATTGTGAGGAAGATAACATGCAACGGTACCATTCCTATAACTTAATATAGGTGACTTTTCATGAAGCTATGTTTTATTGTTACTTTATAACTTGTCATATCAATTATGCATTTTATGTTTAAGAATCCTGTCTCAGAAACCTAACCAAGTTACTATAAGTTAATCAAATTCAAGGGAAAATTTTTCTCAGCACCACAAATTTTCTAAAAACCATGTGATTGGAGTTTAGTATTCAGTTAGTATTTCTGGGTATGAGTTTGACTTATTTTTTGCAAACTAAAATTTCCATATTTTATGTGAAAAAGACTTACATGAGCCCACATAACTCATGCTGAACAAGACTGCCTGAAGTTAATCTGTGAGAGAAATGGACAGTTGTGAGCCTATGAAAACATAAGAAAGAATTTTGAATTCATTTAAGTTTAAAGGCTGTGGACATTTTTTCTTGCCATTTTCAAAGTCCAAATTGAATAAATTAATAAATGTTTATTTTTTAATTTATAATATGTGAATGAGACTGAATCATAAAATTCCAAGAAGCATCTCAATAGAGTAATCATAGAATCATTTTCTCTGTAGAGTATTTTTCATAGCTCTCTGGCAACTTCATATTTATTTAAAAAGCTATAACTTCCTCTGTACTCCTCTTTCTCATAAATAATAAGGATCTTCATGAGCACAAAACAGTGTATATTTAAATAGGCACAAGCATTATGCCATTGCTGAGCTATGTCACAAAGTGAATGCTGTGAATGTTAATTCACAGTCATTGCAATCAAAAGCATTTTTCTAAAACCATTTTATTTTTTGTTTAATTTAAAATTTTTAAACTATACTAATTAACGTGCTTGTGATGTTTCAGGGGAGGTAGATGTAAACTTTATCTTAAAATTTTAAAAATTAGGTTTATGTTTTTTAATTGAATGTATTGAGATGACATTGGCCAATAAAAGTATATAGGTTTCAGGTGTACAATCCTGCAACACATCATCTGTATGTTGTATTGTGTTTTCATCACCCCAAGCCAGGTCTCCTTCCATCACCATTTATCCCCACTTTCCCCTCTCCTACCTCCCTCCACCTCTTTCCCTCTGGTAATCACCATACTGTTTTCTGTGACTATGAGTTGTTTCTGTGTGTTTTTTCTTTGCTTAATCCCTTCACTATTTTCACCCAACCCCCTTCTGTGATAAAAATTAAATGTGAAAAATGATAAGATTAATGAAGCTCATAAAGACTTTAAGCTAACAGTTACAAATCGATACTTTCCCTTCCGCAGCATGTAAGAGCCAAATGTTTTTATTTTCCTTGGAATCGAATGACTCCTTGGTAAACTTACTGTGTGAAATATTGTTTTATTTTCTAGTTCAGTCATATTTGACACTTGACAGAGTGTGACTTGCTGAGAGGGCTTACAATACATTTGAGCTTACATAGGGGAAAGGAAGAAAATATTTAAAGGTTTTTAAACTAAGACTGTAAGTTAAAAGATGAAATAAAATATATTCAACCTAAGATTTCTCAACAAGGTTAAGGCCTTATTCTATCATTTATTTACTTACGGTAGTACACTCGATAAGAAACCAAGGCTTGAGAATGCAAATAGTAAATGTTTTTAATTCAGAAATCAAGGTAGACAACTTATTTTTCAGTATATAAGTTCAGTGACTGCCCTGGTGATGAGTTGGCCCATCTTAGTGTGAATTTTTTAATAATATTGAGAGCATAAGAGAAAACAACTTGAAGTAAATGCTCATTTCTAACTATTGAATTCTGAGATGTGCCCCCTTTTAGCTTTTATTTCTTTTTCACATAAATGTAAATTTATATAGGCATAAAATTACTGGCGTAATATAATACGCCCACAGTGAATATGTATGTTTATCTTTAGGTTATATTTTCCCTCCAAACAAATGCTTCCCAATGTCCTTATTTTCTCTCTTTGCTCTTGGCCCTTTGGTGATCTTTCTGGATGCCTGTTTTGCCCAGATTACTCTTTAAAAAGGACAGGCCACATGACTGAATGCAAAAGACAGGGAGAATGCATCAGGGCTATTGATGTCACACATAGTGGTAGCTTGCTGTGTTTTCTTTGACCCCAGAAAGAGCAATTTTTCTTGATGTTTCTAGAGCTGTGGATGGAACAAGGTACTAATGTCTGAAAGGGAAAGTGAAAGGAACAAAGGCAACAGATGGAAAAGTGTATCAGCCTTTCTCCTGTTTTTCAATGAAAATTCACTGTAATAATGAATACACTTTCTTTATTCATATACAAATGGCAATGAATTTCATACAGTAAGATTACAGACTCCACATAAACTTGGAACGAGGTGCTTTTCTTTACTAATTTTTGGAATGATTTATGAAAAGAGTTGAATTACTTTCTACCAATATGTAGAATAAATGAAATTAGCCCTAAAATCTGATTGCACACTCTGACCATTCTGCAACATGAAGAAAATAATATAAATTCCCTCTCTCTCTCTCTCTTAGATTTCTGGACCAGTTAAGAATTTTACTGGCTGCCTAGAAGTTTCAGAAATCAATAATTGGGGTTCTTTCATCCCATCCAAGGCAGTGAAAAAAAATCACGTTGATAACTGCAGGTAAAATACCCCTAATGATTTGTCAAATAATTGTTCACATAACCACATCAAAAGGTAAGATTTCCATTTGAAATCATCTAATCAGGACTAGACTATATTTCCTTCATTTTAATTTTTCTTCACACTTCCACATTCTAAATTACTTTCTTGCAGACTAGAGATTTGTAAGCTATATTCCAATTAAGTTGGAACATTTATTTATAATGAGTTTCTTCTTTGTGCTATATTAGAAACATCATTTCTACCAACCAAAGATCAGTGTGTCAGTATTAGAAGACGTCATCTAACGCAGCGTTTGAACATAAGCACACTGATAGTCGTGTGTGTGGTGTATTGTTCAGAGTGCTAAAAAGTTTCCTTTCTACCATCTCTCTCGAAAAGCTGCCCTTGTGCTTAAATTTCCATCTTGTGACACACTCCTTTCAGATGATCTCTGGCTATATAAATCTCTGTGTGTGTTGGGGGGGAGAGATAGTATAGTTGACACGGTATTAGCTTTAAAACATTGGTATAAATTGGTTAAAAACAACTCCCTGACCGTTAAGAAAAAAGGATCGTTTTTGGAGCTTTTATCGTGCGTTGGAATACGTTCACACAAGTGAGGCAGGGTGGCACGGGGGGGCAGGCTGTTTGGCCACGGGACAGCATAAAAGCCTGTTTGTCAACAGCAGAAACACTTTAATTTATTCCATCAAAATGTTTAGAAGTACTGAAATCCTACAGTGCGCTCTGGTCCAACGTGAGTAAACAGTCACACAGGGGCAGTTCTTAAGGAATTTACAGTGTAGTGGAGGAGATATTGATATAATGTCTAAATGAATATATGAGTATGAAGAGTGCTAAGGAAAAACCATAGAAGGCTATGAGAACTTAACGTATTTGAATAAAATCAAATATGCTCCTTCATATATAATTACCATATATATATCCTCATATAGCTACCTTTTTTTTTTTATGGTGACAGCACCTGAAATTTACTATAGTCATCATGCCGTACATTAGCTCTCTAGACTTATTTATCCTACATGATTGCAACTTGTTTCTTTTAACCAGCATCTCCCCGTTCCCGACACCCACCCGCCCTGGTTATCACCATTCTACTCTCTGCTTCTGTGTATTAGAATGGCCGTTGCACCACTTATCTGCATAACTTAGTTCTTCCTTTATTTGTAAATGGTGATGATGATAATAATACTGAACATGAAGTATTGCTGTAAGAGATGCATGATTTAATACATACTTTTAATTTTTTTCTGAATGGTGCCAAGTACCTAATCCACACGTTATCATTATTAGCTGTTGTTTTCATTATGATTGTTGTTTATTATTTGTTCCTCTTCAAAATGAAAAAATCAACATAGTGCTTCTTATATTTTTCCAAAGTACAACTATCACAAAATTTGGAGGGTGTGGGGTCATGAAAAAGGGGTCAAGTATTTCAGGTAATAGGGTAAAAAGGCAAAGATATGAAACATTGAATATTAGCCATTCTTGGTCTTCGCAGTCCCTTGACCATTCTCACCTCAGATTTTTCTAAAAGATCTGCTGTTGGCCTCAGTGCTAACCTTATTCTAAGTTGTGTGCCCTCCCTAGAATCTGTCCTTATCATTCTTCTGGGAACCCTTAACACCCTACTTGCTAGAAACTCAATTGAATTTTTCCTATCATATTAGGAAGAGCTACTAACTTTCATAATATCTTTTTTTAATTTCTAGACCATGCCCCATGGTCTATATTTTCAAAATTAAATGTTCTACCTTAGTATTTCACAAATAAAGACACTTGTTTCCTAAAAGCAAGTTAAAAGGTGTTTTTCTTATTACCCGTATTTGGTCACAAAATATGGTTAATATGCTGCAACTCCAGGATTGCCTCTGCTGTGTCACACAGATGGCGAATAGAGAACTGAACCGCTGGTTTTGTGGACGTGGGTTTGAGCCAAACTGGTATATTTATGGTACAAGAGTTAACAGTCAGTCAGATATACCAGGTTTCAAAGTCAAGCTCTGTTGCTACTATTGATATAACCTTAGCAAAGTTATTTAACTTCTCTGCACTTCAGTTTCCTTACTTGTAAAATAAGGACAATAGTAATAGTATCATAGGGTTTACATGAGGACTGAGTGAAATTGTGTAAGAGCAATGCCCTTAGCACAATGCCTGGGTACAGGAAGTGCTTCCCTTTGGGGAACTTGTGTAATTAGCAATCTTCACATGTGTTTATTGGACCACATTCTCAATCAACCAGAATAGTCATCTAAGGAGAATGCTCAGCTTATTAACCATGTTACCCCAATAAAATGAGTAAAAGTTTTTTTAAAAAAGTAATGCTTTCCATGAAAACTTCAAATGTGCCTCCTTCATTTAAAAAAAAAATCAACTTTTTTTCTTGTACAAAATAAGACACTAAAATAAAATTTAAAAAATAGGTTCAAAGGTGCTTAACAAAAAAAACAAAACAACAAAGGCACTTAACAACAAAGTACAAATATGAAATTCGTAGGTTTTGTTACATTCTAAATTAGGTTTATTTCCATTCCAATTTAGCTTTTTTATTTTGCATAAGTTTTTTTAACTGAAATATATTTTCATATCTCTGCACTGTAGAAACTTTCCATTGTTCTATTCCTGTCTCGTTCAAATCTTTGTGCATTGTATGCTTTCCTTGACAATAGAAAGATATCAATATTTATATTTTAAAGTCTATTTTAATACTTGGGAAATGAAACATTCAGGAATAAGAAACTTTTTAGTTGTGCAATGAAACACTTACAGTTGGGTTTACTTACACAAATACAATCATATCTGGTAAAATTTGGTACGAATCTTTTCCAAATGTTATTATATGAGATCCTGATAATATATAACATGTTTTATTATTATGAAAAATAGAAACATTGTTTATTTTGGAATAATAGTGTTCATGGTAGCATTCATAATTAATGATAACTCCACAAAAACTGTCTCATATGTTCAAAACTGTCCTGAGACCGAGAATGGTCATATATCTCATTGCCCTCAGTCTTCTATGCACTGCACTATGCTTCTGATATATTTTACTTTCAATTTCTGCTTTTGGTATTAATGGGTGGCAGTCTTCCAAATGGTTGCATTGCTTTCAGGATAAAAGTTAAATTCTCTGCTAGCTTTCCAACAAAATAGTTTGTGCACCCCCGCCGTGATAGAGAATTGCCCCACAGAAATAGCTGCACAGCACAGAGCAAACCTGCGGGACCGTTTCCACCCCCCACCCCCCCCATGCCTTGCCTCTAGGCGGGACTGTCGAGCTAGTCTTCCCTGTCGAACGTGCACCGAAGTAAAGTGTCTGATTTCTGGCCTGTGATGCTTAGGAAGTTCATTTGCTGTCATTTACTGGATGAGAAGGACTTTGAAGATCTAACATATGATTGAAGTTTCTAAAGTTTAGAAAAGCTGACTGTTTCTAGAGCCCTTCCCAAACAAAGAATTAAGAATATCTAATATGGAGAACAAAACAGGCCCATTAAGATATGTCAGTGAAATATAACAACTAAGCTGTACAGCAAAGATTAATTCAAAGGATGCGCCATCTCCTCCAGATGACCTCAAGGTAGCTGTCATTAAGTTGAGAAATAAAGATATAAGAGGAGAAGAAAAAACAAAATAATACTAAAGCCAGCTTGGGAACTATGGGAAGGAAAGAACATTGCATGGTATTATTAATATGAACCAGCCTAAATGCAAATAGATTGGTGCCTCCTAAATGTTGATGGAAGTATATTGCCAAGAAAACCACAAGCCTCGATAAAAACAAACAAACAAAAAAGAAAAAATAACTCTAAAATGTCTGTAGGGCCCCCCAGTGTATACTGCATGAAGCAGTGTGTGAAAGCTCTGTCTTCCCCAAGGAGCACACACTTCATGAAGCCCGTTTCAGACCAACCCAGAGAGGAAGACACAACAAACAGGGAACTTGCTCCGCAAGAGAATTGGTGTAATCCAGGAACTGTCTCCAGTACAAGACAGAAAGAAGGTGTCACAGTGGGTAATGTAGCTGATCATCATTGCTGTGTATTCCAGTTTCGGCTTTTCTGAATGGGCATTTTTGCAATTATCCTGTCCCTGCTCCATCTGTTTATATTAAAGTTCAGGATTGTTTTTGAGTTTGTAGCTCTTCAGACCTTAAGAGGCCACGTCCAGAACTGATAAAAAGGACTGGACAGCCAGGCCGGGCGTGGCTCAGCAGTTGAGCATCTACCTAGGATCCAGGAGATCGAGGTTCGATTCCCAGTCAGGGCACATGCCCGGGTTACAGGCTTGATCCCCAGTCCGGGTGTGCAGGAGGCAGCCGATCAATGATGACTCTCTCATCATTGATGTTTCAACTCTTCCTCTGTCTGAAATCAATACAAATATATTTTAAAAAAATAATAAAAATAAAAGGACTGGACATCCCCTTGATTTTTTTTTTAAATATATCTTTATTGATTTCAGAGAGAGGAAAGGAGGGGGAGAGAGAGAGATAGAAACATCAATGATGAGAGAGTCATTGATTGGCTGCCCGGCCTGCAACCCGGACATGTGCCCTGATGGGGAATCGAACCCCAATCTCCTGGATCCTAGGTCGATGCTCAATGTCTGAGCCACGTCCGGCCGGGCTGGACATCCCCTTGAAACTATTGACTGAGCTGAATGCAGTAACTAGATGAGATTTTGTGCTCTATCTCTTGAGAAGGGACTGGGTATGCTGTAGGAAAAAAGGGGACATGTATGGATATTGAGTATCCAGAGGAGCGGCCTAAGGGAGTCCTAGCTAGCTGTCAAACAGAGTAATGCTGAACTTTTACTCAAGGCAGCAGCCAAGACAGTGACAACGTTTTCCAGGTACCTCCCCTCTAGGTCAAAGATCAGCAAGTGTAGACACAAGCTAATTTCAGCCACCACCTCCTTACAAGGCCCAGGAACAAAGAAGACTTTTTACATTTTTAAATAGTTGGAAAGAATTTTTATTAAGAATAACA